TTCAAACCAATTTCTCTAGTGCTCACCAATACATTGGGCTAGAAAGAGGAGTAGATTTACTTGTGCTCTTTACCTGCCACTTCCAAGCCATCCCCCTGCCACCATCACTCAGCAACCTCCTCTTTTTATAGCTTCACTCCATCTAGATTTACCATGACTTCCAGATCTTGGTGTAAGTTATCTACTGGCCCTCAGATCATTCTCCCTCCTTTCTCAAGGAGTTCAGTACTGTGAATCATGGATCATCTCAACCCCTTGTCCTTATAATTGCATCCTGAAATAGTTCATCAGCCTCCTCAACTCCCATGACCTGTACCACACACTCCACCTCAGCTACCCTTAACCTCATTGCCATGTGTTCCACCTCCATATTAGAGCTCTAAAATTACTTTATCTTACTATGACCTATGCTTCTATCCTCACCCCTCCTAAATGAATTATTTGTCCTAATTGTGGCAAGTGAAAATTTCTGAGACAGAGTTTCTGGGTAAATTATAATCGATTTTATTAACTACGGATAGTAAGTATTCTATAAAATGGACTCATTTGTTCCTCTTGGTGAGCAAGGAGGAATCATGGGGACTTCTTGAAGCTTACGTGCCCTAGAAAGAGTGGGTGTTCCTGACAGATAGCAATCAACTCTGATAGGTTAACAATGAGAAGAATGAATATTATAATGAGAGGTGGACCTATTCCCATGAGGGGCTGGGGAATATGACTTTGATTACATCACTTACTCCCAGACCACCCCCAGAAGTGGGCAATCTAGACAAAGGATCTACCCCCCCACACTCCCACCCAAGCCTGAGTAGAATACAATGGGCAGAAATTCACCCCAGTTAAATTCTTTATAAAGTTTTTAGGTAGGGCAACAATTCCACCTAGATAAGATAATCTTGGTGGAGGCAAATTTTTGGACAAGGTGAGAGATCTCTTTAAAAAGGAAAAAAATTCTGGATCTCCCCAATAATTGGTTATTTAATAATCATTTCTCTCATTATCCTAATCTCTAGTCACTCTACCTCTCCCTTTCTAGTCTATAACCTTTGTTCTAGTCTCACTATACTCCCTTAAAAATTTTGACTATTGGCAAGATACAAACCCAAACCAAAGAAGAGGCTTGGGCCTCGTTCCAGAAGCTCTTAAGATATATTAGAGAAAACATTCAGTTGCTTGTAGACTAACCTGATGACACCTATTGTTCCCAGCTCCATAAAGACAGAATCTATAATGTGAGAAGATTCTTAAACTGGCAGTTTAAGAACTGGAGGAGCTGCTGTCCCTGGGGACCTGCTTTGAAAAATTCACTAAGACTCAGATGTTCAGACTGCACATCACTGCCTTGAATTACCTGGAACCTTATGGAACGCATAAAGTATGAGTGAAACCTGGAACAGAGCAGTCATTCTTATATGGGAACCATATGTTAAAGGACAGCAAGTTGGCACAGTAGATAGAGTGCTGGGCCTGAAGTCAGGAAGACTCATCTTCCTGAGTTCAAATCTGGACTCAGACACTTACTAGCTGTGTGACCCTAGGCAAGTCACTTAACCCTGTTTGCCTCAGTTTCCTCATCTGTAAAATGAACTAGAGGAGGAAATGGCAAACCACTCCAGAATCTTTGCCAAGAAAACCTTAAATGGGGTCACAAAGAGTTGGACATGACTGAAAACAACTGAATAACAATGTGTTGAAGTCTGGCCTGGATGGAATCACAAAAAATACTGATAGTTTCAGGGACTGGTGATATTCACCATGAAAGATGTCCCTTTGGGTTTTGATGTGGCAGCAAAGTCTACACTGGACTGCAGAAAGGTGGACCACATGGCAATTGTCATGCTTCACCAAGCTGACATTGGGGAATATGTGTACCATGAAGACACACAGATTTAATTCATCTTATGGACTTGTGATGGAGAGGAAAGACCTTATTTTTTCTCTTGCGGGAGCAGCTAAACTACAAATCCACCCTTGTATTGACTTACTACCCACAACAATGTGACCTACGTATACAATTGGTCTTCTATTGGCCATTCTGGCGATTGCAGAGGTACCAGAGAACAGTGGATTAACCCTAGACTTGGAAATTGGAAGTCACTTGACTGGATTCACCAACCTCACAGGGTTGTTGTGAGGATCAAAAGAGCTAATGTACTTAAAGCAAAAGTGAGGTAGAAATAGGAGCTATCATCATAAACAACTGCAGGGTGAATGCATGTTTAGCAAAAAAGTGAGACATTTTGAACCTTTTTGTTTAATAATAGTGATTAAATTGAATGCCATGTTTAAAAAAAAATCTTGACTATTGGCCAGTTCAAGTTTGCACTGTTCTCTACCCTTGCTTCTTTGACCTATTGCCACGCGTTGCTTTCCAGACCCTGTTTTACCCCCACTATTGGTCTTCTCTGCTCCTACTCAAGTACCCCTGAACACAAATAGAGGAAGCCATTTCACCATTCTATTAAGGTCCACCACAGATTTGGGTCATCTAATCTCTGCAGTACCTCACTACAGCACAGCAATTCTTTTGTTCTTCCTTAATTACTCCTGATCACAATCCCTCAGAATCTGTTCCAAACCTTCTCTTCTTTCTCAAACATCCTACACTACCTTTTTCTTCTCTTCTCTCTCAGCAGATTTTGCCCATCTTTCCTGAGAAAATTGAGGATATCCATCATGAACCCCTTCTTCTCCCCCCATCCTATACTTCAATTCCCCTCAATATCATTCCTCCACTCACTCCAGTCTCAGAGTTTGTCCTTCTACTTGCTCATATGGCTTGTGTCCTTGGCATCCCCTCCTAATTCCTCAAGGAACTTGGCCCTATGATCATCTCTTACTTTCTGATCTTCAGTCTTTCTTTATTCACTGGCTCTTTCCCTGCTGCTCACAGAAATGACCAAATCTCCCCACTCCTGAAAAAAATAAATAAATAAATAAATGAAACAAACCTTCAGCTGAAAAGCCACTTGGAATAGTGGGAAGAGAACAAACATCAGATTTAGAATCCCTTGGGTTAAAGTCCACCTCTGACACATACTAGCTGTGTGATCCTTGGCAAATCACTACCTCTCAGTTCCTTAGTCAACTCTCTAAAATTACAAATTACACAATTGAGAAAAAGATTTTCTTTACCAGGGAGCTTTCTATGCAATAAAATCACAAATACAGACCAAAAAAAAATCTCACACATTCCCTGGAATTATAGTCCTATATCTTGCCTCCTTTTCACCAAACTCCTGGAAAATGCTATCTACACTAGCTGCTTCTCTTTATCACCTTGCAATTTGGTTTCCAACCCCACTACACACTATTTCTTAACAATCACTATCACATCACCAACACTTTCTTAATTGCTAAATCTAGTGACCTTTTCTCAGTCTTCATTCTTCTTGACCTCTTTGTATCATTTGACGCTGGGGATTATCAGCTTCTGATTGCTCAATGTTCCCTAGGTTTTGATGACTTTTCTTCCATGGTTCTCTTCATATCTATCTGACTTCTTGGTCTCCAAAGGAGGACCCATCCTCTATTTACCCCAGGGTTCCTTCTGAGGATCTCTTTTATTCTCTCTCTACATTTTTTTCCTTGGTGATTTCATTGATTCCCATGAGTCCAATTATCACCTATATACTGATGATTCCCAAATCTACATATCTAGACTTCATCTCTCTCCTAAACTCTTGGCCCATATCACCAACAGCCTGCTAGACATCTCCACCTGGATGTATTGTAGGCATCTCAAACTCAACATGTCCTGAAAAGAACTCATTTTCACCTTAAAACCCTCCCCCTTCCTAATTCCCTATTTCTGCTAAGGGAACCACTATCTTGCCAATCACTCCAATGCTCAACCTAAGCATCATCCTTGACTCTTCATCCTCCTTCACTCCACCATATCCGACTGGTTGCCAAGTATTGTCAATTCTACTGCCAAATCTCTAGCACCCATCCCCTTTTCTCCGACTGTATCTCAACTACCTTGGTTCCAGCCCTCATCACCTTTCACCTGAGCTATTATAATAGCCTCCTAATTTGTGTCTCTGTCTCCCCTTTCTGATCCATCTTCCGCACAGCTGCCAAATTGGTATTCCTAAAACAGAAGGGTGACCATGCCACTCACCCACTCAAGAAGCGTCAATGACACCCTATTGTCTCTAATAGAAAATATAAGCTCTTCTGTGGAAAGAGTGCTAGGAGTGGAGTCAGGAAGACTTGAGTTCAAATTCAGTTTCATACACTTATCAACTGTGACCCTGGACAAGTCACTTAACCTCTACCTCATTTTCTTCATCTGTAAAATGAGGGCCATCTACCTCCTAGGACTGTTATGAAGATCAAATTAGGTACTATTTGTAAGTGCTTAGCACAGTGCCTGGCACATAGTAGGTATTTAATACTTGTTTCCTTCCCTGCCCTTTCCCATTGTCTAACTTTTTTTTTCCTGAGGAAATTGGGGTTAAGTGACTTGTCCAGGGTCACACAGCTAGTAAGTGTCAAGTGTCTGAGGTTGGATTTGAATTCAGATCCTTCTGACTCCAAGACCAGAGCTCTATTCACTGCGCCACCTAGCTGCCCCATTGTCTGGCTTTTTAAAGCCCTTCCCAATCTAGCTCCAACACACTTTTATAGAATTATTTCACACCATTCCCCCTCATGAATTCTATATTCCAGCCAACCTGGCCAGCTTGCTCCCCCTCGTACATAACATTCCAGTTCCTGCCTTCATACCTTTCCCCCATGTCTGGAATATTGTTCCTCTTTGCTTCTGTCTCTTGAAATCCTTCCTATATCTCCAGGCCTCAGATCAAGTGCTACTTCCTACATGAGGTTTTTCCCAATCCTTCAAATCACTTTGTATTTTTTTTTATTTATTTATCTGTGTACATGTATCTTTCTCTCCACCCTACCCTCATTCTCATTAGACTGTGAAGACCTTCAGGGAAGAAATGGTTTTATTTTTGTCTCTGAATCCCCAATGCCTAGTACAGTGCTTGGCACATAGTAGGTACTTAATAAATGCTTATTTTATTTAATTATAAATTCTGCCCATCTAATTAAGAGAAGAGCCCCCTTTGCAGAGGAAGTGTTTGGCCACAGCAGGGGTGTATATGAGACACCAGGTATACATGAGTCCAGCTTTGTGTCTTTACCTCTGTAAACATATTAATATAATTGAAGTGTCCATGACTATCGTTATTCATATGTATGCAATGGTCTGTGTCTGCCTGTGACTCTACATCTACGCATATGTGTCTATGGGTGTGGGAGGAGAGATAGCTTTGTGTCTATGTCTCTGCATATGTATATCTTTTGCCCTGTCTAGTCCCATCTTAGAGACATCCCCTCCCCCCAGAAACCATGGCCAGTATAGCGTGGGTACGGAAGTGGGCTGTTGCTGTGGTGTTGATTGTGTCACTGGGACTGGCAGCTGCCACAATACCCACTCTCCTGTAAGCTTGGGATCTTCTAGAGAGACCATTCTCCCTGCCCCCAGACGCCACAATATTTATGTAGGGAGAAGGGAGAGTGCTACAGGTATTGGAGTTGGGGTGGGGCGAGGGGAATTCACTGCAAAGACACCCCCCCATCATCTCTGACCAGCAGGAGGAAGGACCAGGAGGCAGCACAGCCTGCAGAGGAAGGTTGCCTAGCAACTTGGGAGACTTTACTGCAAACTCACCAAATCCCAAAACTCCTCAGTTCTAAATTAGGAAGACAGAAGCATGGAGACAGGGCCTGATACCCACTTTCCCACTTCCCCATCCATCCCCATAGGACCCTAGTGATAGAGTTCGTCAGGGAAGTTACCTAGCCTAAGGTCTTATATACTCCCAATCAACTAAGAGGCTTGAGCACCTGAGGCAAGTTATGGTTTGTTGGTGTCAGAAAATGGTATTTTGTACCAGGAATTGATTAAATTCTCACTAACATGGGTGAGCCTTCAATAATTGGGGAGGGGGGAGATTCCCTAAAACTTTGGAAACCCAGCTCTGGAGAACCAAGGTAGTTAACTCTATCCCCACCCTTGCTAACAATTAGATTTTTCTGTTTTCCCCTTTGGTCCCAAGAACTTCTGTACTATCCTTTCAGATAAGTGAACCAACCTATGCTTTTCACAAGCCCACCCTTCACCTGAGCCACATATGTGGGCTTAATTACCAGGCATCTCCAGAGCTTCATCACCTATCTTCTTTCCTCTCTGAACTGCCCTATCAGCAATTCTCTTTTCCCCCTCTTCGAGCTTGTTGATTTAGAATTTTCCGTTTTTCTCATAACTACCTTACCCTTACTCATACAATATCCTGCACCATTACCAGCCCTAAGGTCCAAGACATGAGATTTTCCTTTCTATGTGGATTTCTCCATAACTCCCTTCCCCCAGCCTTTCAGGATACATGAATTCTCTCCCCTAACACTTCCCTGACCCCAGAGAGATAACTAGAATCCTCATGATTCACTGTGCTTAAGGTTAAAATGGTTTTCTTCTCCAGATGAACAGAGAAGGAAAGGGGCAGGTGTGTATCTGAGAGCTGAGGATTCCTTGGACCTTGAAGGAATTTACCCCACAGCAAAGGGTAGGAGACACTGAACAGATTCTAGGAGGATAGCTCTCTAGGGAGGTGCAAGGGATAATGGGGAGATGGTTCTTGAAGATCCCTTCTTACAAATATGTATACATCATGTGTATATGTAAAGTGTATTATACAGTACTCAGTATCTGCGTATCACAGGTTTGCAGGTTGCAATTGCATATATGTCTTTCTGAGCAGGATGTGTGTATGTGTGTGTGTGTTAGGGGACGGGTGCCCATGTGTATTTGAGCTAATCTATGTAGAGTATAGCAGTGTGTGGGTGTACAGCTCTCTGTGGGGTATCTGAATTTTCATGTATTTGTGTATGACTATGTGCCCATCACTGGCCTTCATAACTTGCAGGATGAATACATCTGCGCTGTACTGGATGTGAAGAGTAGACAATCTTCCCACATTTTGGTGAGGTCTGTGTGTGTTGCTTACTTTGGAGATTCGAGTGAGAGTGGGGAAAATGGAAGAATTGGGGGAGGCACATCCCTAAGTGGAGGAAAACAAAGGGAGGGGTATCTCTCTCGAAAAGCTGGAGCCTCAGGTAACTGTACTAAGATATATGTGTCCGGATGGAAGGGTGTGTGTCTCTGAGAGGTCGGGGGTGTTTTTCTATTTCCCGTACTCCTTGCCTACCACTCTGTGCTGTATTGGGGAGTGGAGATGGTGGGGATTATTGCGTGGGAGTTTGGGAGGCTGTAGGTGTGTAGGAGGAATAGAGGAAGGTGTGTAGGTGTAGGGGCTGGGGCCGCCACTGGTGGGGGTTGGTAGGGAGGGGGGAAAAGAGGGCACAAAGGGGGCGGAGCCTCAAGGCGTAGTCTCTCCTCTCCTCTGCCCACTCAAGTTAAGACTCCTCCTGATTGGCTACCCTACTGTGGGCTTCAGGTTACATCCCAGAGCAGTCCCGAGCGCGGGAGAGAGAGGAATAGAGTCGGGAGCGGATTTTGCACTCTGAGCCGGGAAACCAAAGTCCCTGAAAGGCGTCGGACAGCTCACCGCCCCTGCCCCCGCCCCCAGCCCCGCCCAGCCCAGCCCTGCGGTCGGGATGGATTGCTGCACGGTAAATACAAGGACCACCAGAGGAGGGGGTCTAAGGGTGCTAGTGGGACCACATAGGGAAAGTGGGAGATGAGGGGTGGGCGAACCTAGGGAGGGAATTGGGCCGTTAACTAAAGGAAAAGGGTAGGTTGGTGAAAAAGGGTGCTTGGAGAAAAAAAAATGAGGAGGTGAGGGCGGGGAGGGGGGTTCGGTGGGGTGGGGGGGCGTCCTCCCTAGGCTTCCGAGCCCAGGAACGATTCCCCAAAGACAGCAGTCGTGGTTAGAACACGAACCTTTTTGATCGTTTCATTGTTGGAGCTGACCTGGCCGGAACGGACAGTAGTCTTTGCAGGGTGAAGCAGCGGCAGGACAGAGGTTAGATCGTCAGGACGCACTTTCCGATAAAGAAGGGTAGGAGACCCCAAGAACAAGAAGGTTGTGGTGGATCTCTCCCTGGGAATCTGTAGACTCAAGACCAGTCTCCACCTACTGGCAATCTCCTAAGAATCCAACAGTGCCCAAGGTGGAAGTAATCAGTTAATTGGTTAATACTGATCTTGGACAAGAAGCAATCTGGGTGAAAGAGTTCTAGCCCCTTTCCCCTTCCCCTCTTCTGCTTCAGGGAAGGTGTGGAGATTGGATGAGATGACCTCCAGAGGTCTCTGCAGGAGAAGGAAGGAAATATCTGTCATTTATCACCCCCCACATAAGAAATCAGAACGTAGCAAATAAGAATTTGTCTAGCTGACCTAGGAACGGTTTGGATAATCTTACTTTATTCACATCTTTTCATTAGTCTAAATCAGTAGAATTGCTCTCTCAGGAAGATTATGGGCTCAGGGCCTCAGTCACTCAAGACAGAGATAGGCAGTGGGGAGAGAAAGGTTCAATGTGGGAGGAATGGTACAATTCAGTGAGATCACCCAGAAAGGAGAGAAGGAAATTGAGGAAAGGAGGGAAGAGTTTGTAGGTGAGGTAGGATTTGGAGGAGGAAGGGAAGAAATGCTGTGTGTGAATAGATATTGGTTGCCCAGATCATGGCTTTCCAACCCTCTGAGTGTGGTATAAAGAGACCCTGCCACTAACAAGTGGCAAACCCTACTGCCTATCAGTTAGGAGTAGTGCTGAGAGCTAAGAGGAGTGGAGAAGAGAGGGAGAGAAGGGTTTGAGGAAAAAATTAAGACTTCCTGAACAATAAAATGTGCTGAAAGGTGAGAACAAAGAGTACAGATGCCAGAACTAAAGAAGAATTTTAGTCCTGGAAGTGGAATAAAATAATATTTAGAACTTATGCATTATTTTTAAGGTTTACAAGATTTACATGTGTTATTTTATTGATCCTCACAACAATACTGTGATGTAGATGCTATTATCCCCCTTTACAGATAAGGAAACTGAGGCTGAGAGAGATTAGAGTGATTTGCACAGCTAAGAAGTATCTGAGGCAAGATGTTAAATCAAATCCGCACGACTCCAGGAGCAACACTATTATCCATTCCCTAAATGAACTGTCTCCTGTATAACCTTACTCCTCTGGGTAACTAGAGTTTTTGCTTTTATCTCCCCAGCAAGTGGGATAGAGGGGATGCTACCTAAATGTCCCCCATTGACAGAGGAGTCCAACCAAGAATAGAGCCCTTCCTGGAAAGAATTTTAATGAAGGCAAGAGGAGTTCACTAAGAGAAATTAGGGACCCTCCTTAACACTGCAGTCACTCCTACAGCAAAATGCCTTGGAAATTTAAGCTGGATCACACACTTTCCCGCCGCCCCACATACACACATACATACCCCTACATCAGGGGGATTCTCTTCCTTTGAGTTGCTCATTGCATCCTCTATTCTCCTAGGTCTGTCAGATAAACAGGATGGGTAAATGAGGTTCCAAGATTGTGAGTGGTGAGTTAGTTTTGCTACTGCTCTGGAAAAGGGAAATGTGGACACTGGGAAGAAGATGGGGACTGAGAGGTGCAAGCATGGTTGAATTGTAGAGTAAGTATATAGTTGGAATAGAGGTGGTTAATTTCTGTCCCATCCTCTATTCTTCAGAAAATCCCTTAGTAATATTCACAGGAGATTTAGGTGTTAGAGATCATTGTTGAATCCCATACAGGAACTAGAATAGGCAAGAGAAGCCGTATAGGACATCTCGGGTATTTAAGTCTAAGCAATGAGTGAATAGAATGGGAATTAGGATACTTGGGTTCAAGTTCCAGGTCTGCCACTGACTGTGTTTCTGACCATGGGTAAGTCACAGTACTCTGGGCCCATATTTCTCATCTGTAAAATGAGAAAATTGGGCCAAAAAGTCTCTAAGATTCTTAAATTCTATTCAATCTCAACCTGAGTTTTATCCCACCTTGTCCTTCTTCTTCTCTCCCTGTTCTATGTTACTTGCAAAATTTCCTACTGATCCTGACTGTAGAATTTGGGACAAGGCCCAGCCCTACTTTGTTCCTTACTTTCCCTTGATACTGAAAAGATAGGAACAAAAAGATGTGAGGAAAGAAATGGTAGACCTCTTAAGGGAAAGAGGATAGAGGGGGAAGTGCCTTTCCTGTTGATGCAAGCATTATAGGTATTAATTTCCAAAGTTTTGTTTTGCTTACACTTCATTTCACATGAAAATGTGAAGAATCCCTCCCAGCTCTACCCTTCTTCCCTTCCAACTACCTCTCTCTTTCCCCAGCTCCTGCTAGGTAAAACTGAGGTGGCCCAAATGAAGCCACAGAATCATAGCCTCTGAACCAACCTTGGAATTGAGACCTGCCCCTTTCCTTCTTTCCTTTCTCTTCTACTGGGTTGGCTGGTCCCTGAAGACTGAAAGGAGGGGCTAGGAGTACGTGAGGTAGGGGGAGAGCTTTTGCTTGTCGTTGCAGGTTTTCAATCTGAATCCAGCCCTGGTGGATTCAGATTTGGCAACTGTTCTTCTGGGAAAGGATACTTTCCCCCCACCCCACCCTACCCCTACCTTATTCCCTTAGCTGCTGGGGTTCTGGAGAGTGGAACTAGTGGTGATCAGTCTGTGTCCAGCTCTGGAGCAGAAAAACCACTTGAGAGTTGGGGCAGAGGAGAGGGGGACCGAGGTCCTAGGGATCTGAAGAAGGAAAAGGAGAACGGTAAGCTTAGAAAGCAGAGAATGTTCTAGACCAGAAAAGATAGGAGGACAGGGTCATCACTCTAGCTTTTCAATAAAGCCAGGGACACTTCACTGGGATAACAAATGAGGGAAAAACTTAAGTACCATTCAAAAAGACTCCAATATAGTTGTAGGCCCAGAAAAGGGGCTGAGGACGGGGGTAGGTGCATGATAAGTATATTTCAGAGGTGAGAGTTAGTATTGATGATTTTTTGCTAAATTAGACTCAGGTGTACAGAATTTAAACTGGTGTTGCCCAAAGCCCTAGCAACCAGGTTAACCAGGCCCTAAGGAAGTGGTCAACTGAAATTCCACAGAAGAAATAGTTTCCTGCCTATCTTATCTCCTCCTGCCCCCCAGTGCTATGTCTTATTTTGTTTCTTTTCTGCTCCAGGGGCATCATTCTCTACCCTTCAGTCTCAAATACATACACCCTATTCCCTCTTCTAAGAAGAGGAACCATGAGAAGGCAGACTTCAAATCCAATTGACTAAGTTCTACCTAGGGTTTCTTTTTACCTGCTCCCAGAAGACTTGAGACAAATATAACATAACATAGATGGTGACTTGATAACTGGTGCCCTCAGAACTGGAAATGGGGTGAAAGTGGTTCTAGTGGTCACATGTCCAACAACTTCCCCATTCCCCTACCCTCCCACATGTAGAAAAACAGTAGGAGAAACAAGGTCACCATTGGAAGTCTTCAAGAAACTGGAAGAAGGTTGCTAGAAATGAGGATCAGAACCTAACTTACATACTTCAAAATAAAACTCGGAGAGGGAAGGAAAAAAAGCAGAGACTACACAAACCCCATGAACCTGAGCTCCAATCTATTCTGGATCTCAGACTAATGATATGATTAATACCATTCTCACCTCCCCCATCCCCAGCCATGCCTAAGAGAAGCTTTCACGTGAGTCTATGTGGTATCCACCTGCCTTTGGAAGTCAGAGTAGCCTTAGACTTAGGGTAATAAATCTTTTTTGTGTGTGTTATGGATCCCTTTGGCAGTCTGTTGAAGTCTCTGGACAACTCAGAATAATGTTTTTTAAATGAATAAATTAAAACACATAAGCTTACCAAGGAAATAAAAAATTAGTGAAAATAAAGATGTAATTTTTTTTCTCCATCCAAGAACATGGACTTCCTGAAATCTATCTTCAGACTCCAGGTTAAGAACCTCTTTTTAAATTTGCTTAATCTAGCATTGTGGTTCAGTTTATTCACATTTTATGTTGTCCCTGATTCATTCTCCCATACACACACCATAGAAAGGCCTTTCTGCTCCAATTTATGTTTCCTTCTTCCCCTTAGTAGGTGGAAATGAGTCTTTTCTCTGCTTCTTTTCCCATCTGGACTTATAAACTGTCTCCTCTCTTTTTTGTCTCTCAGCTTTTCCTGGAGGAGGAACAGTCTGGGTAGGAAAGTAATAGAAGGAAACCTCTAAATCTAGGGGTCCCCATCCTGTTGGCCATAACTGAGATACTCAAAATCCTTGAGGCTCTTCAAGCCTGTTGTCTTTGGCCCTAAATCTAGCATCTAAATCTGTGAGAGCCCATACATCCCCTTAATTCACTTAATTCACCTTACATATATCCCCTTAATTCCCTACTTCAGCCAATCTGTAATTTCATCAGTTGTGTACTCCCTCCATTACAGCAGATTGCAACCCATCTACTCTTCTCATTCTATGTCACTGTTGTCCATGTGCTATTAACCTTCCATGAGGAAAAAGAGGGGAGAGGAAGGAAGAGCAGAGTTTGATCACTACATTGGAGGTTTTTCCGCTAGATCTCTTGATATTCTATCTATACTGCTGGAGTGTGTGGGTTGTCCTTCAATTATCCCTTGATCTTGCTAAAGATCAGCCCACCTTTTTTTCCTGGTCATATGGACCTCTGTGGACATTCTCTAAGTAATTTCTCCTTCAAAATCATTAGTAACAGTAGTAGCCTACTCTCACCAATAAAAATCGACCCATATGCCTACTTTCACATCTCTACAAAATTTTTATGAAAATAATCTACATCAGCACGGAAAGCATTGTTGATGAAAGTATGAGAAAAGAACTGGCAAATTTTCCAAAGAGTATTCCACAGTAGATTCCATTTTTGCAATGACATAATTGACTGGAAGGTGTAGAGAATCCAGCTCCCATTTATTGTTGTTGCTGCTATAAAAGCATTTGACTTAGTAGAACAAAATGTTTCTTTAAAATGATTCCTCTGACAAGGCCCCCCCCCCCCAAATCACACTAGTCTCCAAATAAGGAAAATGCTGCTGATTCTTCTCTGCAGTCCTGGATTCTCTAACCTGAATCTCTTATAGATGGAAGATATCTCAGATATTACAGAGTTCAACCTCTCTTTCTTACAGCTAACAAAACTATACCCCCGGAGAAGTGGTAAAATTGGGAGTTCTGAGTGGGTGTGGGTAGCTCTGATCTAGATCTAGTCTCTGATCAAGTGGATCTTGGGGGAACCAGAACCCTGAGGGGGAGCTATGTTCCCGGCCTCCGTTTCCTGTTGTTTCTGCTTCTCCATATTCTGGCTGGCTCTCCAGCTCCTCCCCCATCTCCTAATTCCTACTGGCAGTTTTTCCAGCACCAAGAAAATGGGTTTCCTTTCCTGCTAGAGTGTGGCTGTGGTCAGCGAGGCTCAGAGCCCTCTCCTGTCCCTTAAGGACTATTCTCCACCCAGGTTTCCTGTCCCCAGGTTCCTATCTCTGGTACACAGCTACTCTCCTATGCTAGCCTCCCTTTCTTCTCCATCTATTCTTGTCTGCAGTCCAAGCTCCCCAAATATCTTGACTCCGTTCACCCCAATAACGTCCCTTCCCAAGTCTCTACGAAGCCCTGTCACCCAAAACCCTCTGCTTCCTGGTGTCTCCCACCCCAGCTTTTCTAACATCCAGCTGGAGTCTCTTCTCATCCCTGACCCCCAACTGCACCCCATCCAGGCATATCTTCTTTCCCTCCCCCAATCCCCCAGGAGAGCGCTTGTTCCAAGCCAGACGATGACATTTTGGACATCCCTTTGGACGATCCTGGCGCCAACGCGGCTGCGGCCAAAATCCAGGCGAGTTTCCGGGGCCACATGGCTCGGAAGAAGATCAAAAGTGGGGAGCGAGCTCGGAAGGGCCCAGGCCCCGGGGGGGCGGGCGGCTCTGGGGGCGCCCGGGGGGGGCGCGGGAGGCGGCCCCAGCGGAGACTAAGCCAGGTAAGGGTTAAGTGTCACCATCTATCCCCAGATCCCTCTCTCAATTTTCCCAGCATGAGTATTCCTTCGACCCCCCACCTCAGTCCTACGAGCATTAGGAAGTCTCCTTCCGGGGACCCTTTCACTCCCGAGGTCCTAAGAGCGGAGCAGCTATTTGTATTGTGGGGGAGAGACTGGGGGGGGTCGAAGCCCCTACCCAGGTGACCGACTGCATCAGAGGGCGGGGCGGGGGGGGGGAAGGACCTGTGGATTCAATATTTCCTTCTGTTTTTCCTTCTCTGTCTCTCAACCCTTGCTTGCCCCACGACTGAAGGTGAACTGACTGTTTTCTAAGGTAATTATTGTGTTACTCGGGAGGGGCAGGAGTTGTGCTAGTATTAGCCCGGGTGTATTAGTATCTTTGTTGGGAGGGGCCGTGTCTGTCCGTGGGAGGTGTCAAATCCTTCCTCTCCCTTCTTTCCAATTCCAAGGCTACCAGACACCACCTGCTGCTGCTGGGGCCGGAGGAGGCCGGGGGGGGGGGGGGGGGGGAAAGGGGGGCCGATGGTTGGGGGAAGGGAATCCTGTAAGAACTGAGTCGGTGACCCAGAGGCAGGGACAGCATGCATACCTGGACAAACATGTACAAACGGAGTTACTTCCTTGAAGTCACAGGCATACACAGCGATTCGAACATACGCAATTTCTTTCGCTCATAGACACCCTTGGGAGGTCATTTCAGTTCAGTGACTGGGGGGCGGGGAGCAGTTTCTAGATAAGTGGAAGTCCCAGACACCCTCCTCCGAGACCAATCTCCTTGGCATCTTAGCGGGGGTGCAGATAGAAGGGAGAGAAAGCACTGGCTTCTGACCCCAGCTGAGGTTAAGGATGGGGACTAGTGGAGCGAAGAGAAGGGAATGATGTTCAGAGCTTCTCTCTCCGCAGTTCCCTAGGTGAGGTGGATGCCATGTCCCCTTCGCAGTGACAAGACTTCCCTGCAATGTTTGTGACTACTCCCCCACCTCTCCTGCCAGCCTCAGGAGCCCACACGCCACCGGGAGACCCCTCCCCCTCAGGCCGGCTCCATTCCGGAGTCACTCTACCTGTTCGCCAGTCTGAAAAGGGACCTGATTTCCCTATCTTCTTTACCCCTCTCCTGTCTGTCCTCCTTTCCTCCACCTCCTCGTTTTGCCTAACCTGCTCCACCTCCACAGCGCACCCGCCCTGCATGAACTCACCACCAACTTTACTAAGCTCCTCTTCGCTTTCTCTCTGCGGATTGCTGAGGGCGCCCCCAAGTAGTCCAAGTGTGTGTGCTCCCACTAAGGAAATCCTGTTTGTTTCTGCGGAAAGCCGAAGGATACGCCTGTCTCCACCCCTACTCACTGTGCTGCTGTAACCATCCCCATCCAGCCCACCCAAGCTCCAAGACTTTGGGCCTTCTGCTCCTCCACAGGCAGTCCCCAGTTTACACACTCGGGGTGAGGGGAGGCTTTTGGGGGTGCCGGAACCCTTTACTTCTGGGCATGATCCTATTCTGGTTGGTGGGGGGAGGAGCGGTTTCCCGTTCCAGAGGTCCCCTGAAGTGACGGTGATTGCACGCCCAGTCCCACACCTGCTTGTAATCTCCCAGTCCTGAGCCCATTCTACAGCCCTATGCCCCTAGCCTCGACTGCTGCGCATCCCGCGACCACCTCTCCAACTCTCTTCTTGTTATGCAAACTCCTAGGCCGAGGTGATCGAGAGGGGGTGTGGGGGGAGTCAGAAGCTGCCCCGCCCCTTGCCCTGCCCTGCCCTGCCCTGACCGCCCAGCCCCTAACCGGGCTCCTGGGGCTGTGGCAGAAGGGTTTTTAAATTTTCGTGTGTGCATGTGACCGCTCTGGGTTGGAATGTGAACAATAAAGAGGAATGTCCAAGTGTTCCGGGCTACCCTCGAGAAGGGGTTGGGATGGGTTTACAGAGAGGGAAGGCCCTGGACTGGACTAGCCCCAACCCGACTTAGAACTTTTAAAAATACAAAGAATTTTACTGACAGCCCTGCAAGACAGGTAGTACCAGTATCCCCATTTTACAGATGAGGAAGCTGAGAAATAGAAAGGTTTATGTGACACAGCCCAACAGTTTGTAAGTGACATGGTCTCAATACCAAAATGTGTCTGGAAAACTCTACCAAAAAGGTGAGGGAGGAATCCACCTAAGACACGAGTGATCCAGATAGATTTGGCTGACTGCCTGAGCACTCTCCACGCAACCTCTCTAGATAGTCACTCGCTCTCTGGCTTCAAGGCTCCTTAGAAGTTAGGCCCATTCCATCCACTGGAGGAGTCATACATTCATCTACCCTTTAAAAAAAAAAGCCAACGATAAGTCCTGAAAACTAGGACTTTAATTATAAATTCAAGTCCCTCGGGATAGAGGCAGTAGAGCATAGAAAGTTGTCAAACAACCATGGGGAGCTTGGACTTGGTGGTGGTCACAGTGCTGGCAGAAGGGGACCTCTCCAGTAGCCCAACATCTGTATTGCCTCTCCGGGGAAGTGAATCATAAACCCCTGGGGCCTTGGCATCCTCTCTGATGGAAGAGAAACAACTCCTCAAATAAAACCAGAGATCGTCATCCTTCTGTTTTCCCGTCCTCCCCTTGAACTTTTGGAACTAACACTTGTTGCTAAAGGAGAGAGTTGTTCCCTCAACTTCATCTAAACTTCTCATTTTCAACCCCTACCTTCAATATATGGCTGTATGACCCCAGGACCAATTCCTCAAACCAAAAATGCCCCAGGTTTGGGATCCACACCACAGTTTCTGACCCAGAGCCAAGCCTATTGTCTCCCTTCAATTTTCCTGGGCTAAATCTCCAGCTCAGATGCCCTTCTTGACTCTCTCCAGTCCTCAAATATCCTGTGGGAGGGTAATATGTGGTAGGGATGTTGCCTCTGGTGTACCCTAACCTGACACCACCCTTTCCCTTCCTCTTCCCACCTCCAGCCTCCTCACCTAAGGTCATTGCCCCCATATATCTCCCTTGGCTTCTTAATCCTCTGCTTCTGGAACTTCAGTAGGCAGAATACACCTACCACCAAGAACAGCAAGCCCAGGAGGACACCTATCACAGTTCCTGCAACCCTGCCCTTGGAAGGATCTGAGAAGACACAAAACCCACAGGACACTCAAAGAAAGACCTTGGTTGTTAACCATCTTGTACAACCCCACCTTTAACACACATTCCCCAGTCCAGGTCTCCCCACTCTAGTCCTGTATCTTTCAAGATTGAAAAGTCAGAGCCCCATCCCCATACCAGTCACTGCAAGGGTCAGTTCACAGAAAGCACTGCCTAACTGATTGGCAGCCACACATCGATAGACTCCAGAGGAAGTGAGAGAAAGGTTGGTGAGGATGAGCCGACCAGAGACTTCATCTAGGAAAAGGAGGGGAGATGTGATGGAGTAGCTATGCCCATAGGAAACAGAAAAACTGGGTGATATGGGACATTCAAGGGCAGATTGCAGTTCATTGACATGTTACAGGGGCTGTCTGCTCTGTCACACTCCACTATGCTATAGACCCCTTATATCCTGAGCTCTGCCACAGCCTTTCCCAACTGCTGCTACTTCTTTCCTACCTCCATTAACAGTCACAAGATCATAGACTCAGGGTTAGAAGGGACCTTATCAGCCATCAATCCCAACCCTATCATTTTAAAAATGAGAAAAATAAGAAGCACAGCAGGGTTAAGTGCCCAGGGTCACACAGCTCATAAGTATCTGAAACAGGATTCGAGCTCTGGTCTTTCTGACTCAAAAGTCCAATGCCCTGTCCATTATGTTGTGCTGCCTCTTAACAGTGAGAGCATAGGGCAGGGCTTCTATGAAGTTTGGATTTAGTCAAAGGGCCACACTTGGGGACCTAGAGGGCCACTTGTGGCCTCAAGGCTGCAGGTTCCCCATCTCTGGCATAGGGTGTCAAATAAAAGAGTGATCAGGGATTTTCCAAGCTGCTGAAGCCCAAGTAGGGGACCAGAACTCTTGGCCACATAGATTCCTGGATGGTCCTAAGGATAGACCTTGCCATTTTAGGTTCTCAATATCTTAAATATTGATTTATCGCAACCCCACTCCCCTTTCCCCCCTTCACCCTACCCCCCCCCCCCCACACACAAACACTTACCTTGTACCATGCTGCCAGGAGCTGGTGTAGGAGCAGAACCCAATCGAACCCAAGTGTACACAGGACGGGGGGCACCCCCTGAAGAACTGCAGGTCAATGCAGCACCCCCTCCTACTGAGATCTGCCCACTTTGTCCACATGTGGGCTTTGTTGGGGGTACTGCAGAGGAAGTGTTTTAGGTGAGAGTTAATCAATTGGGCATTTATTAAGCACTTGCTATGTATGAAAACGAAGACCAAAGTGAATCAGTCCCTGTGCTCAGGGAATTTACATTCTCTCCTGACACTAACATAAGAAAATAACATAAATATAATCAAATACAAGATAATAGGGGAGGGAAGAAGGGAAGGTAGAGGCACAAATGGAAACTGGGAGCAATCAGGAAAAGTTTCATATAGGTGGTGGTGCTTGAGCTGACTTTTGAAAGATGCTAAGGATCCTAAGACGTGGATGGAAGAATGGAGTATATTCCACCCAGAGGAGGCAACAGAAATAGGAGAAGGAATGTCTTGTATGAAAAACACTAAATAGGCCTCTTGAGCTAGACTGTAGAGTGCCTGAAGGGGTGTAATGTGTATTAAGTCTGGAAAGGTAGGTGAATACCAGATTGTGAAGAAGTTTAAATGCCAAACACAGGAGTTTGTATTTTGTCACAGAGGCAATAGGATAGTTCCTGGCAGCTTTTGACCAGGGAAGTGACGTGGTAAGATCTATTTTAAGAATGTTGATTTGGCAGTACTGTGGAAGATGGATTGTTGAAGAGAAAAAATGGAGGCAGGGACAGGAATTAAAGATAGTGTTGAAATAGTGAAAGGTGATGGAGGAGTGAAGCAGTGTGGGTATGATGTGACTGCAAAGAAGGAAGTGAAGTCTAGGGTTGGTGTGGAGGTGAAAATCAACAGAACTTGGCCAGTTGAGAAAAGGGGAGGTGGGGGGACATTGAAGATCAAGTAGGACTCTCAGGTTTCAAAACCAGGCGACTGAACTGATAATGGTTCTCTTGGCAGAAATAAGAAACAGGGTGATTTCAGTGGGGAAGGAAATCGGGGGATGATAGAGTTAATGATTTGTTTTGGATGAATTGAGTTCGTGGTGCCTATGAAATAGTGGACAAAGAGCCAGGCTAAGAATTAGAATCCCTGGATTCAAGTTCCCCCTCTAAAACTCACTGACTGTGTGACCGTGGGCAAGTCAGCTTTTCAGACAACTCCCTAAGACTATATAAACTGAAAAGAAAGTGTTTTCTCTTCCAGAAGTTTGCTGTAACAATGAAATCACAGATCCAGGCCCTATCTCCTATGGGAAGTTAGATAGGTCCTATAGAGACAACTAGCTATGATTAAATATAATGTTGGTGCTCAATGAAGAGTCAGCTAGTAAGTACCAAGGACCCCATTCCCACAACATCTTTGCCTTTGTGCTTAGGAAAAACTGTGTCTGAGCCTATAAATGAGAATTTCCTCCTTGATTGGGCTTTTGGAGGAAGAGCTCAGCTAAATTCCCATTTTAGGGGATAAGGTTCAAAGAAGATAGAAGATATACTCCTGTGTGCCCAATGAGTCTCTCTAGTGACATGAAACCTAAATCAATGGAAATTATAACTATCCCAGATAATAGGGTTCTACCTCATCTCAAAGAGTCTCCAAGTGAGGTTGTTGGGGAAGAGAAATGTTTCCTTGATTTCCCTAAAGTGCGTGACCTTGAAGTTCAGAGTAAAGCTACAATGTATAGTGGAGGAAGCAGGAAGTGGAAGAGAACTGTCTTTTGGTGTATATGTATCAAGTATGTATGCATGTATGGGCCTGCCAGATCATGGCCTATCCTTACCCAGCACCGTGAGATTGACCAGCCCCAGGCCATTATTATAGAAGTCTGGTGGATTGTTGACCTGGCAGAGGTAGGTTCCAGTGTCTGAAGATCGAATATCTGTCAGTCGAAGTGTGGCTACCCCTCCTGTAGGGGGATTCTGCAGCAGAGTGGCCCTCTTTGCCTGGGGACCCGTCAGATATAGCTCCTTATTGGTGAAATATAGGATCTTGGGAAGTGGCAGAGAAAGGGAGATTACATACAACTTTTATGTGGCTATCAACTTCTGTGATCCCTTTCCAAAAGTCAGGGACCAAGACTCTCTCCCTCCCATAGTGCCTAAAATTTTGCTATTAAATGTCTTAAGAAGTGTTCTTTCTAGGTGAAGTCTTAAAACAGCCATGCTCCTGATAAACACATAAATCAAGTCACTAACTTCTAAGTCACTAACAGCTTAGTTTAAACTATTCCATTGACTCACTTTTCTCTGGGACAGGAGGAGCTTGGGACAGCATGAGCCTAAGTCTAGGGTACAAAGGGTGGGTAGGAGGCAACGGAGCTAATCGGGGAAAGGCTATGGAAGGAAAGGTGAATAATAGTGATAAACTTCTACTTATCAATTTTGTGTAGAGTGGCCCTGCCTCTATCATGGGAGCTGTAATAGGAACAAACATCATGAGAGACTTTGCAGTTATCATGTCCTCTCACAGAAACTGCTATATGCAAGATTCCTAGCTTTCTATTATCTTTGGATGTTGGGAGAGGTTTGTCGGTTGTAGACATGCTAGAGTGAGTGGAGTGGGGGGAGGGGAGGGGGGAGAGGGTGCCTGGATTACTTCTTTCAAAGTAGGGGAAGGGCAACAGATGTGCCCTTAGGTCACAGGAAAGGTTGGTAAAAGGGGAAGGGAATTTTCAAAACCTTTTTTTTTGAGGGGGGGGAAGGGGGGGGGGTGGAACAGCAGCTTTTATGCTTTGGTCTCCTGGAGTCTCTTCCTTGTGACTCATATCCAGACAGGAAATTGTTTGATCAGGGTGGGAAAACCATATATTCTAGACGCAGGGGTAGGAAACCTGCAGCCACAAGACCACATGTGGCCTTCTAGGTCCTTGGGTGCGGCCTTTTGACTGAGTCCAAGTTTTACAGAACAAATCCTTTTATTAAGGGGATTTGCTCTGTGAAGTTTGGATTCAGACAAAGTGCCAAACTTGAGGACCCAGAAGGCCCCATGCGGCTTCGAGACCGAAGGTTTTCCATCCCTGTATCTAGAGATTATTTTCCCCCTTTACCTAAGTAGACCCAAAGGAGATACATCCTTACATTTCTCCCCCTACAATTATAGTGAGGCTGCCTCTACACTGGATAGTTGCCTTCCTCTCCCTTCTTCCTTCCACCCCCATCCCATTCTAGGAGACCTTAGACCTCCCAGTTCACACTCACAGTCTCAGCTGAAGAGATGGGATTACCCGGCTGGACAAAGCTCCATTTCAGTGCAAAGTTTTCTCCCACGGATGTGTAATAGCTACAGGTCAGCTCTGCAGCCTCACCAGCAGGTTTGCTCAGGGGTTCAATTGGCACTTTCACTTCCACAGAGCATCCTGGGGCTGGGGGAACCCCAAGGGGAACAGGGAGAGACTTCAGATCCTGGCCAAGGAGGATGGAAGCAGGAAGGGAAGACCAGGGCAAACAAACCCCTGTACTCCATCCAAACTCCCCACCTCTCTTCCAAAAACAATGTTAATCTGGTGTCTAGAACCTCTCAGAACAACCGGCTCCCCACTTCCCTCCAGCACAAGTCATTTGGGTCATTCCCTCTCCCCCCTCCCCCACCTCCTGTACACACACCTCCTTGAAAGCTAAGGTAAAGGTTTCTGGGAGGAAGGGAGGAACTTCTGCTGGCTAAGCTGGGTCTGTGGGTAAAAGAGCCTGGGCCAGATATGAGGGTATGTTTGTTAGTTTCCGTGAATCTGCCTTAGGGTATAAAAGACCAAAGTAATCCCACAGTCCTTAGAAATCTTGTCAGCAACCCAAATATCTCTTCCACCTTCAGGGCCCCTACAGTCCACTCACTTTCACCCATTCCTCATTTAACCTCAGTTTTCAGGAGACTTCTCCCCATCCTACTCCACTCAATTCCCCCTTTTAAAATTGTCTTGGTTTAGCCCCCATCCTTCCCCAGTTCTGTGGCCCTCTAGCTATTCAACTTCTGAGGCAGATGAGGGAAGGGAGGTGTCATGGGGGTGATCCTGAACTATAGAAGTTGAGCTAACAGAATCTTCTCTCTCCCCTTTCCTTCTAATCACTGCCTCCAACACACATTACCAGCCAACAAACAGCCCCCAGCTCCTCACCAATCAGGTAGATGAGGGTCAGCATTGCCCAAAACACTAAGGATCCAGGGAGCCAAGCCATGGCTGCCTTGGGCTGTCCTTCTCTGTGTAGCCTTTGTGGGAGGAGAATACCAGGAGTGCTGTACCTAGAGGTAAGTGGGACTGACTAACACAAAGAGCAAACAAGGGGGAGAGGCCCTGGCACCTTCAGGAAATGGTGCTTTACCTGGAAAGAAAGGCATTGGGGAGAGCAGAAAAACCTTGGGAAATCCAAAATGGGGATCAACCCCAGGCCAGGCTAGGTCTACAGAAAAGAAACCCAATCTCAACATGCCACAGAACAAAGGTGTAAAGGACAATGAGGAGTAAAGGATTGGAGGCTGGGAACAATGACAAAACAGGGGCTAGGAGTCGGGGACTGAAACCAGAAGAAAGATTCAGGAGGTTCCTATTCATTTTGACACTGAGAAATAATAACACTGTTACATGCAAATTAATACACAAATGAACATTTTCCATTCTTGGACTACTATCTTGGTGGATGTAATGTGCGATAGACATAGTGCCACTTTAGCATTATGCTTATTGCATAGATAGCCACTGGGCCCTTCCCAGCCTTTTAGTGACCCCTGCTGCCATAAAGGACGGTTTCTTTCTCCTGAGTTATTTTCAAAATATGTAAGCAATTTGGATAAATATTTCCATCGAACAAAAAACATTGTCTTTGGAGTCAAGGGGTCTGGATTCCGATCCTGCCTCTGAAGCTTATGATCTCTGTGGTCTTGGGCCTGAGATTCCTCATCTATACAATGATATGGCTGGACTAAATAGCCTTTGAAGACTTCCTTTCCAGCTTAAGATCTATAATCCTATGAATATGAGAAACTGAAACCTAGAGGTCATTTCACCCAGGATGTTGAGAAAAAAAGCCAATGGAATCTCTAGGGCTGACAGGGCCATTCCCTGTAAACAAAGACAGGAATAGAAGGAAGGAGAAAGGGGGAGGAAAAGAGGGACAGATTACTGAATGTCTCCTGGAGCTACATGGTCTACTTCTATTCCTGTTCAGACCTGACTGATCCTTCACTTTGTCCACCCCATGCCTCAGATGTTTAAATCGTCATTGAATAACATTGGAGTAGGGCATCACAGACAAAAGAAAAACTAGAGGGACAAGAGGGGGAGAGTTTGAACTAGGTTCCTCATCCTGCTCCATTTGAAAGAGGAATTTGGAATGGTGTTCCCAATACCACTCTCTCTTTGATGACCTCCAGAATGAGGAATATCCACTTCTGTTTCCTGCTGAAGAACATTAATAAGTGATCTAGATTACTTCTATGCCTTGCTTATGCCATCATTTTTCTTTCTGGGGTGGCTAATGCCATCCTGAGATGATAAGAAGGCTAGAAGGGAAAAGGTGGGGAAGAGATAAGAGAGACAGCCATAGTGTCACTACCATGGAAAGATATTTGATTGAAATATAAAAGACCCTGGGTTCTATTCTAACTAAAAGTCTCTTCCTCTAGCTAGCTATGTGATTGTCAGAAAGGGACGTCCCTTCTCTGGGTCTATTTTCTCATCTGCAAAATGAAGGCTGGGTTAAATTTCCATGGTCCCTTTGAGCTCTAATAGTGGATAGATTCTATAAGAATGAGACCTGCATAGGAGTGATTGAACAGTATCCTACCAACTCTTTCCTTAAGCTCCAATTATAAGCAGTAGCTTTGAAAATTGCATGTGACTCTCACTTTCCATAGAAATAAAAGTTATTTTTTATTGACATTTACAAAAAAAACAAGGTCAGTACAAAGTAGTCTAAAAATTACAGCCCCTCCCTTTCCCCCATGAAAATCCAACCAAGAAAGGTTATTAATGCAGTTGAGTCTGAGGTAAGATCACAGGGAGGATATAAGCAGAAGGATCTTGGGAAGGTGAGGTGATCACAGATAAACCCCACTACACTGTCCCCTTCATAAGCCCATCTTGACAGCATTTCAGCTCCAGTCACCAGGCAAAGGGGTTGACTCTAGAGTAATATATGAGGTCTAAACCCTCCCTGAGCCCAGGCTCACTTCCTAAGGCTTTCTACCCCTAGAGCCAGTTTTCTGAATGAATGTTGATGAGACCTATTGAAAACAGGCTTTCCCCACAATAACAGGGAGGCACAGAAGTATCTTAGGACAACAGCTAGAAGGCAAGCCTTGGAGTCAGAACAACATGGATTGAAGTCCTGCTTCTGATACATATCAACTGTGTGACTCTGGATAGGTCACTTAACCTCTCAGTGGCCCCAGTCAGCTCTCTAAAATGATAAGTTTTATTTGAATTGTCTATTTGCATCAGAGGAAGGAGTTTCCACAGTGGAAGGACCCTGTAACCAATAACATCACAGGTCCAGACCAAAAGGAGGAGATGAAAATTGGGAGAGGCGGAGGAGGCTACATGTCAGGAGTATGGTTGTCTTTAAAGCATTCCAACCCCCCAGCACAGGCAATCACCCTTTAGCTGCTAGTAGAAAGGGCAAACCAGCGGATAGCTCAGTCAAGATAAGGGTGGTCAATTATACCAGGGAGCCTGCCTGGCTCTGGGCAGGCACCATGACTGGCACAGCACCCATCCGACTGAGAGCAGAAGAAGATACCCCTCCAAGGGTAGATGATGCTGTGGGAGGGTGAGTCCTGTTTGTCCTGGGTAGCCCTGGGGAAGGCAGGGCCTGACTAGAGAGACTAGGTGTAGGGGTCAGTGTGCCAGGTCGGGTAGATCCATGGGATGGTCTGAGGGCACGGGCTGAGGTCACAGAAGAAAGGGTCCCATTCTTGGAGATGGTGTCTGAACTCTTAGGCCAGGGCAGTGTCCGGGGGGCAACAGCATCCTCCCTAAGTTTGAAAGGAGGCATAATGACAGGTCAGAAAGGTCAGAGACTCTGGGGACTGGTTCTTACTTCTGCTACTTCCCCCATCACTTGATCCTTGTACTCCAACCTCTTTAAACCTTTCCCAAAAGGAATTCACACCTCTGGCTGTAAGATGAAAATGGGATCACAGACATTGACTCTACTCCTCTTCTTCCAGAGTTGGCTAGATTTCCAGGTTCCATTGGAAATGAAAGAGATCAAAGGTTTGTACAAGAGCCAGAGACACTTACGTGATGTCATTGGCTGGTTCCTCTTGCATTTTTTCTCGGTGACAGTACAGGAGGACCAATACAGCTAACGCCACCAGCACCACCAGGGTGACCACCACAGCTCCAGCTATCACTGCTGCCTTTGGCCCTAGAAAAATCTAGGAGTCAGAGCTGGATATCCACTTAACACCTCTCCATAAAATTGGCCTTTCCCAAAACATCCTCCTCGTTCACCACCACCCCAGCATATATTCTGCCCTAATAGGAAGAAGAGGGGAAGAAGGAGTTGATTAGGATGTGTGCAGTCAATGACTGGATTAGCATTTCAGTATTTTGGATGAGAGTAAAGGCTTCAATTACTTATCCCAGCATCATGTGCTTTGACCTTCTCCTCTATGCTTCCCCCTTTCCCTACTGTTACCCAACATTGACCACCCTTTTTGTAGCCACCACATTATCCCTACTGACCTGAAGTTACCTCTAGGGTCACATTGCATTGGGCACTGCCCACCTTGTTGCTGGCTTTACAGACATAGACTCCGGACATTGAGGCTGAGAGGTTGGTGAGGAATAGAGACCCACGGGTGCTATCTGCAGGCATAATCCAAGTGGTTAGCCCATAAATACCTCTTCCCAATGAACTGTCCCTTTCCTTTGGATTCAACTCTTAATAACGTTCTGTCAAGTCTATTCATTTCCCATCAGAGTACTAGGGAATGTAGCACCTAGAACCGCCTAGGTTCTGCTTCCAATTTTTATACTTTCAGGACTCTACCTGTTATGTCTCACTTTTCTCAGATTCATTACTAACTTCCCATCTGTCATCTCATCACCATGGACATGTACACCCACAATACTGGTTCAGGGGAGGGAGACTAAAGGAGATACACTGTCCTCTCAATTTACCTTACACCTTTATCAATTTACTCCCAGAATATCCCTGTCATTCCCCTCATCTCCTCAGCTCCTCTCTTTTTCTCCCCGCCCCCTTCAGGTCCTCTTGCCCTTCTTCCACAAATAACAAGCAAGTATTGTTCATGTGCTAGGCACCGGAGATATAAGGACAACATCTTGACCCTGAAGGTATTTATAATCTAGTGTGGGCTGTAAGACATGTACATAAATATATAAAGTATACATTAGAATGTGGTCAAACAAAATGGTGTAAGAACTTTTTAAAGGAAGAATCAGGAAAGGCTCAATGCCAATCTTTCTCACTCTGACAATGCCTAGCCTAATTCCCTTTCTTGCCCTCAGTCTATCTCAACATTCCCAGCACCCTAGCTCCCCAGTTCTCCCAAATTTTCTCACCTACAGCAGGTGAGAAGAAGAACTGGACCCGTGGGGGGAGCCGCTCCCACCTGTACAGGGCAGCTGGTTTGCTTCTTGGAGTCAGGCAGGTCAGGGTTACATTGGCCCCCATTCTTGGAACACCATGGAGATGACATGATGGGGCAGCTGGGGACACTGAGGAGATGAAGGAATCAGGTGACAGACTAAGACCACTTATGGTAGAAAAAGACTAGTGACTGTCCCACCTTCCCTAAGTCCATAGTTCTCTTATGCACTTTTGGGAGAGACCAAACTGTAAGGGTAACACAGGACAGGAGAGAAGTGAGGGTGGGATGAAATAGGATTGCATGTCAATAGTAATAATAGTTGAAATCTATATAGTACTTTACAGTGGGGGATCTCTCTCATGCACATTGGGGTAAAGGGAGGTGGACTCGAGAGGTTAGGAGTGCTATTCACTTACCCAGAACATCAAGTTCCAAGCTGTCGACATCTGACATACCGTCTCCTTGGTCCCGCACATTCACAGAGCATCTGTATTGCCCAGAATCCTGCTCTTGAAGCTGGACTAGCTTCAGGGATATGTTTCTGGAGGGCATAGCGTGTAGTAGGGATATACGGGGTTTGTTGACTAAAAACTTTCCATCAAGATAGGACAGCACCTAGAAAGGTAGAGAAAACACAAGGCCCCATTACTGGGCACTCAAGAGGCCCAACAAGCAAGCTGCCTTCAAATTAAACTTTTCATTCATTATGTTAAAATAATGCAAGAAACAATGAAAACAAATTCATTTGGGGGGACAGA